TTTTTCTTCTATAGAATCCCAACATCTAAGCAAATAAAGCCAGAAACAAAGCAGTGTCTTGGGGAAAATACGATACTCCTAGAACTAGGGAATAAAAAGTTTCTGAGCATATATTTGCCCCTTAGATTTGTTTCCAATGTCCCTACTGAGTTCATAGTCCTTTCACATATAAACATGCACTGCAGAAAGCCTTTGTGACCAACAGTAGCTTTCCAGAGCACCTTTGGGAAGAGACCTATTTACTTTTTAGCTTCCTTTTTTAAAAAAAGTTAAGACTAAGCAGGCAAACAGAAAGCTAGGGAAGTAGTCAGAAAAGCATGGAAATGGCAGAAAATTCATCACATTGGTGAGAATCTGGTGATCACCCAACCCACCAACAACCCAGGGTTGATCGGAAAGCATTCGCCATTGGGCCAAAGGGATCCAACAAGCTGACTGGGTAGGTAAAACTAAAAGTTCCAGCGAAAGGGGCTCCAAGGATCACACAAATGCTTAAGCTTTAAATCACTTGCCACAAATGCTGGTAAAACATATTTGATGGCCACAGGGTCGTTTCTCCTGAGAAAGTCTGACAATGGAAAGGGCAAGAATCCAGGAAGAAGAAATAGTGAGAGAACTGGGCATATTTAACCATGAGAGAAGAAGATTGAGGGGAAATATGATAGCACTTTTCAAATACAGTACTTGAAAGGCAGTCTTACAGAGGAGGGGCAGGATGTGTTTTCCATTATCTGAGTGCAGAACATGTAATATTAGGCTATCCAGTAGTTGCTGTTCAACAATATTTCCTAATCCAGCATAGATCATAGAATAATTGAGTTGGAAGGGTCCACCTCAAGTCCAAGTCTACCCGTATCACTCAATCTAGACACCTAGGTCTACCTGTATCACTCAATCTAGCCAGGAAGTGAGACTGAGGAGCGTAACGCCAAGGGAGGCTCGGAAGGAAAAAACAAGAAACCGGGCCTTCTCGGCAGTGGGTCCTCATCTTTGGAATAGCCTCCCTCCTGAAATCCACATGGCCGCTTCCCTGGACATCTTCAAATGCCAACTAAAAACCTGGCTGTATAAGCAAGCCTTTCATCCATCCACCACCTGATTTTGTCCTCTGTTCCTTTTTCCCATCTGATTATTGTGGTTTCCTCTCTTTTTTTTGGTGAAATGTTGTTATGAGTTTAAATTGTATTAGATCTGATCTGTTGTTACCCGCCCAGAGTAGTCGGTACGACTAGATGGGCGGGCTATAAATGTAACAAATAAATAAATAAATATAAATAAGTCTCTGCTCAGTATCAGGAATCCAAATCAAACTAGATCTGACAGATGGCTGTCCAGTTTTCTCTTGAATGCCTCTACCGTTGGAACACTAACCACCTATTGAGGTAACTGGTCCTATTGTCGTACTGCTCTAACAGTTAAGAAGCTTTTCCTGATATTCAGCCAAAATCTGTTTTCCTGTTAACTTGAGTCCATTAGTACGTGTCCTATATTCTGGGATGAGAGAGAACAGATCCTTCCCCTTCTCTGTATGACTAGGAAACTTGAGGAATTCCTTCTCTGTCTGCTCCTTCCCATGCAAATATAAGCATTTTATACAGTGTAAGCTGAGTTGCATCCAGACCCCTCCAATGTATCTCATGGGGGAAAGTGTCTCAGTTTAATAATATGTACACATTTGCAAGGCATTTGGGTTCTTGTTTTCAGGACAAAATGTACCAGCGAATGTCTCATGTCTTGTCAAATCTTTTTACACTATAAAACTATGCCACATGTTTGTCTCTGTTACTTCAAAAGTCTCTTACCCGAAAGGCAGCTGTTTACTTGTAAGGCTTTCTGATAAATGTTTGACTAAACTGATGGCAGTCTGCTGGCTGCAGCTTCAAAGACATCATAGTTTGGAAATTCCAGAAAGATAAAAATTTGTTGAAAACACATTACCTTATTATTTGAAAGCCACCCAGAGAAGCTCCCTGAAATGTTTAATTCATCCAGGGCAAAATAAGAAATTGGGATTGTAAGTCTCTTGCTGTCATCCTTTCCTTATTCTACCCACCTCTTTTTTCTGCCTTTAATCTGTTTTTAAAAGAGGTATCATATGCACACCTAAGAGATTGTTTATGCACTTGCCTGCTGGGTATTATTTCACACATCCCTTTGATCCAGTGCATCATCTTCCATACTTAAAACAGATCATTTGTGTATCTGTTTGACCCTTCTATCTTCCTGTGTAGATAAATTGCAGACATTGAAGGCACAGACATTGAAGGCTTACCTATATTTGTGAAAGGTATAACTGATTCCATCCACACTGATTCAGCAGTTGTGAGCACTCAGCATCTACATTTTATATTTTGTTTCCCTGTTAGGGGGTCAGCCCTTCCAAAACATTTCAGCTTATGCACCTACAATATTAAATGAAATGTCCAAGGAGTAAGCCATGTCAGAGCCAATTTCATGTTATGGATAGCGTTGGACTCAGGAGTGTTGGACAAGTTCAAATCTCTGCTTGGCCATGGAAACTAGTGGTAGGGGAGGGGCACCAGTAAAACAATTTCTTACATATCTGACATTCCTTGGATACCATACGAGGGTTGCCATAAGCTGGGATCCACTTGACAGCACATTACAGAACACACAGCCACAGTCCTAACTAGCAAAGATGGGCAGGACCAGATTAGCTAACAGAAGGTTAGATAGCACTGTGCTGAAACCTCATTTGGTACAGATCAATTGAGACCTGAATTGAACCAGGTCCAAATCAAAATTCAGAAATCTTGATTTTCACCTCTATTGATTTGCAATGGAAAACTGAAATGGATACAACATTCTTATTTTTTTCATTGATGCCTAATAAAAGTACTACTAAAATAGCTCTGAGACAAACACAGAGACTCAGTCAAATAAACAAAAAAAAACACATAAAGGATAAGAAAGAGTGAGTTTGGATTAGGGAAATATTAGGAAAAGAAGATTGATGGGTGGATATTAATACAGTGAGCAAAATAGAAATGCAAGCTATAATAAGCAAAAAAAAATATCTCCCATTAACTCTAAAAGAAGTCATTTTAAAAACTGTGATAACAAAGTGCTGCTGAGATTATTGCTCAGGTCAAATTGGAAGCCAGACACTTGGACGGGGGGACAAATAGAGGTATCGCTACATAATACATTAACACTCATATGCAACATAGATACAGTATTACTATTCAAATAAGCAAATGAACAAGAAAAGCCAAATGAAAGTAGGCTAGGTTACTCAGATGTACAACATAAACTGTTTGGATGAGTAGAGACAACAATCAGATTAATCAAGACCATCAACAACCTCAAAACACTCGCTGCAGCTTTTTCAAATATTTGGCACCAACGGGTAAGGGAGAACAAAACAGTGAAGTGCTGCATGAAAGAGTTGAATATAAAACTTGAGTGAAATCACACCGTCCTTGCTGCTCCTAAAAGAGAGGGCTGCTACAGTATGCCTGCAATGAGGGCAGGTTTGGAGGGATCCTCTCTCCAGAGATCTGTACCTGTTTCTCCCAACATTGATGCTTAAACTTCTGCTTCCTCCATGAGCTCTCCCAACCTCAGTTGAGTCCTTCACTTCCTCTCTCCCCGGTAGGGTGGCCTGAGAGGAAGGGAGTTTGAAGTTCTTTTCTCTTTACCCTTCTCCCTTGGGGACCTTAGCTGAATAACAACAACAACAACAAGCCTCTGAGGTCTTCTTCTTTTTAAAAGTAGACACACTCTCCTGGGGGTTTTAGTTTCTCTTCTGTGGAGTCCTTTATCCAAGAATATCTGAGACCACACTTTCTGGATGTCCCCACAAACTCCTTTACCGATGTCTTCCTTTCCTTCCTTTCCTGAGGTTTCTCCATCATACCCTTCATTACTTCTTCAAGGGCCTCTGGTTGTTGTCCTTCTCCATTCCATAGCTGGAAGGGCCATTCCATGGCTCTTGTAAGGGTTGTACCTCCACTGGTGGCAAGGTGGCTTTTATAGCTGTCATCCATCAGGACTAGACCAGTCTCCCCTTCTCCTCTAGGGTCCATCCCCCAATCTCCAGAGCCAATGTTACCACAAGGGCCTCAGTCTGGGTTTGGTCTCATGGGAGTGTCAGGCCTCACTGCCACTTTCTCCCTCCTCAGCATGGTGGGGGCCCCTCATGAGCCATTATCACAGACAGGGCAGGAGACTCAAGTCCTGGGTCAGAGTGCAATGGCTCACCAACAGGGCCATATATGGTCCTGTCCTCTTCACACATAGTGACAGGAAGGCAAACCGTGTGTTAGTTTCTTATGGTCTGGTTAACTCTGGCACTGAAAAACAGCTAGATTTTCATTGCCAAATTAGTATCATTTCAGCTTTGAATTTAACATATGCCAAGTTTCATTTGTTCTATATGTACTTAATAAAGCTTTGGCTTAGTTAACCACAAGTCATTATATTGTACCTTCCCTTCATTCTCTGGCTGATACAGCCAGTGATTTGACATTCCAGTCAATCTCCCTCAAAGAGAAAAATGAAGCTTTAGTGCTTGAATTTTACTACTGTGCTCCAGTATCTCTTGTGTTGGAAATGTAGGGCCTCTCTTATGCCCAAGGCAGGAAGATGTAGAAAGCATCCATCTAAACCTTGTTGAGTAACAGGTGAAAAAAGTAAGGGGTAGGATGTTATCTATGCAGCATTTAGATTCTATCAGCTCAACTTTGGCATCAAGAATATCCAATGGTAATGCATCTCACACTTTCCCAGAGTTTTGCTGGCACCAGAGAAGGCTCCAAACCACTTTCTACTGTTAATGAATCATTTTAATGGACTCTTTTAGCAGGAACATTCATCACCTTTTGCACCACAATTTTTTTTTAAATAGCAACATGGTTAAGTAGGCAATAAATGCTCATCAGGCCAACCACTGTAGGCTAGTAATCTATAACCATAAATCACTGGTAGATTATCATTGTCCTATTTAATTAACACTCTCCAGGATTTCATCTGGGCATCTTTTTCAGGGGGTGCTCATGTTCAAAGTTGGCAGAAGTGTTCATGCGGGGGAGCATTAATCTTGGTGACCTGCAGTTGAAAAGACTGGGAAAAGATAAAGAGTGTGAAAAAATATATATCAGGAAACACTGCTTTTCACAAGAAAATCAGTTATTTGTTGTTTTGATGTATAGAATATCTGCTCCTCTTTGCCACTTGTAGAAGTAGGAATTATGGGTTGTGTTTTGCTTTGTTTTGTTTTTTTGTGGGAGGGATCCCTTTAAAAAGGGAAGCAAAATCCAATAATGGGGGGTTCCAGAAGTTATTTTTATTGCTCCTCGTAGATTGAAGTGGTCAGTAGGTGTAGCTGTGGCTCCTGTAGAATCTGCCACCTACATCTTCTTCTTCAGGCTTCTTTGTGGTAAGGCCAGTCCAGCACATATTGCTTTCTTTAAAAGGATGATTTTACACTGGTCTGGATTTCAGGGCAAACCATTATTACATTTTGCATCTTAAAGGATTCAAGACTTCAGATGGTGGCAAGGGGGAGGGTAATAACAAATATATAAAATTCAATGTAATTCTTCATTTTTAAAATCTGATTCTCCTTTATTTGCAATAATATTGCAGATAAAATGAAGTAATGACAAAAATTGTTTGTCAGATGTCAAAATCCTCTTGTTTAAAGTTATGCAGCACCGACAGGATGACGTTGCCATCTGGTCCCAATAATAATTAGTTTAAACTAATTAAAAGCTTCTTATCTCCCTCTTTCAGATTATGAGGCTTCATGGGAGTTCCCTTTGCCCTGGGGAAAACCTTTGGGCAAAACTGGGAGACAAAGCCTTAAACAGTCAAAAAAAAAATTGCCAGATCACCAGTGGCAGTCCCAATCCAAGTGGCAGCTATCTGACAATGATTTTCTGATATGAAAGCCTCCCCCCTCCCTGCCCGAATCTCAAGGCTCCCAAAGGCTACCCCAGAGCAAAAGGGAGCCTCAGAACCTGAAAGGGGAGGATAGGAAGCTTTAAATTAATTTACATTAACTCTTAACAGCAGTAGATTATGCCATCATCTGATCTGTACCTTGTAACTTAATGAAAACAGGATTTTGGCCAGTGTGTGATTACTGTTGCCAGAGTAGAATTGTTTCAAAAGAAGATAAAACTCTGTCCTGAACAGAGTGAGTGAACAAATTCCATTAGTGCTGTTATTTGTGGAAAAAATCTAGGAATTTTATTATATCACTTGGTGAACATGAGTCAACAGTGGATGCAGAGGTAAAAAAAAATGCACACAGTATTCCTGTATTTCAACAGAAGTATACTGTCCGGTTCAAAGGAGGTAGCATTATCATACATACTATTCTGCTTTGATCATATCTGCTTTGATCAGCATGCCCCCTCTCATCCTTCAGGTGACAGGTGAAGACCATCCTTTTCAGACAGGCTTTTGTCAACTAACTGGGCACTGAAAAAAACTGATACTGGGTGCTGTATTTTTATTACCTCATGTATGTTTTAATGTGTTTTAATGCGTTTTTACCTGTTTTAAACAAATTGCTTTAATTAAATCACTTATTTAATTATTTTAATGTAATAATTTATTGGCTGAAATCCTGTTGCGTCACTTTATTCCATGGAAGGATGTTGACATCATCATCAAGCAGCAGAAAACTTTAAGTTAAATTAAAATGGCCAATCCCTTCCTTCAGGTTCTGAGGTTCCCTAGGGATTGGGACCATCAGCAGTTATCTGGAGGCAGTTTTCTAAAATGCTTCCTTCCTCAGCCTAAGGCTCCCAAATGCTTCAGCAGGGCAAAAAGGCAACCCTAGGGAGCTTTGGAAGTTAAAGTATGGGATAGGAAGTTTTAAATTAGATTTAAAATTTCTGTCACCAGTTGATGACGTCATACTTATTGCACAACTGGATTTTCTGTCATTGTGTTTTTCAACTGATTTTTAAAAAATAATAATTGGTAAGCCATGTTGGGTCTCTTCACTGGGAGAAAGGAAGCATAGAAATAAAAGTCAATCTCACTTGGAGAACTGTCTCCAGTTCTGGGCACTGCAATTTCAGGAAAATCTCTATAAACTGAAATATATCTATAAGATGGTGGCCAAGACAATGAAGGATTTGGAAATCTAGCCCCACGAGGAGTTACTGAGGAATCTAGTTACATTGAACCTGGATAAGAAAATATTGAAAATGATATAAGATAGCTATCTTCAGATATCTAAAGACTTGTCATGTGGAAGATGGAACAAACTTGTTTCAGCTGTTAGGGTAAGGCTGAACAATGGATTCAAATTGCAGGAAAGAAGATTCTTACTAAATCCTGATGGTTAATGCTGTTTGACTGTGGGATGAAGAATTGTATTTTCCTGTATAATCTTCTCTTCTTCTTTTGAGATCTTCAGGGGACAATCCTCTATCCTACCATCCTTGTTTGGTGAGGACATTAAAAAGAGTGTGTTTCCAACAGCTGCTCTCAGGCTATTGAACAACCTTCCAAAGAGGCTAAGTTGGCCCCCTCCCTGTTGCCCTTCCACTCCAGGTAAAAGCCTCCCATTTCAAAGCTGGCTTTTGGTAGACAAATGCCTTGAGAAATTAGTTTTATTGGGATTGCTGCAGTACACTTTACTGTTTTATGGTGTGTTTTACACTGGGTTTTTTAACTGTTTCTAGTAAGCAGCTTTTAAATATAGGTATATGTTTTATTTTCTTTATTTAATAATGCAATTCACTGTAATATCGGCGGTATTTGGAATCTTGGGTCCCTTTTGAGGAGGAACCCAGGATAGGAATAAAATAAATAAATAATATGGACTATCTCAGAAGGTGTTTGACTTCTCTTCACTGCAAATTTGGATAGCCATCTATCAGGAATGCTTTAGCTGTGGATTCTTGGTAATGGGCTGGACTTGATGATCCCTTGGTGTCCCTAACAACTCTAGTTCTATGATTCTATCAAACAACATAGCAGGATTGCTAACATCAACTGCAGCAAAATATCTCAACAGATATCCTTTCAAACAGCAAGAGAGAAAGCTGAGAAAACCTTTTAAAAACCAGGTGACATAAAGGGGAAAAAGGATGGGAGAAACTACATAGTCTGCCTGATTTATATTCATGTGTCTAACTATGTTTGACATTTTTCAAAGTTTAATGAAAGCAAAGGGATAATTTAAGATTTCAGAACTTCTGTCAGACAAAAAGAAACTTCTAAGGAAATCTTACTTAAAACCTATCATTTGAAATGTCAGTCTCATCATAAAATCATTTGAAGTGAAATACATTATATCCTTACTTAAAGAACCTTCCTCATTTCTAAACATTATGTTTAATCAATATTTACTTATTTATTTACCATCCCTTTAGTAGTGGAAACTACCTACTCTCTATTTTATACCTATGCGGTATTTCTTACAGAGCATGTACCATTCATGAGTATTGACTGCACATATTTATCAATGTTTACGCTGATATCCTTATTAAGTATGCACACAAATACACATAGCTATTAATCTGAAAGAAATCTTTCAATCAACGAAGAGGAAAAATAATTCTAGTTTCTCCCGCCACATAAAGGTCAGAAGGATAAATAGACGCAAAGGATAAGCAAACAGACATGACAGCATGTATATGCAGAATAAAGGCCCAAATTAGCAATTGCCATAAAGATGTTGTAGCTCAGCTTAAACTCAGCTGAAATGCGACAGGCTGACTGAGAAGATTTCAATGATCAGCCTCTAATGAAAGAGTCAGTCCAAATCTAGAAGGTTGTTTCAAAGGTGCTCTTACATACTTCACCACATGGGGCAGTGCTCAGCCACTAATGTGTGCTTGAATGTGCTTCAAAGCTTTGCATCTTTCTTTAAAAGGGGACACCTAAAGAGGGCATATATTTGACCAAACTCCGGGAGGCAGTGGAAGACAGGAGGACCTGGCGTGCTCTGGTCCATGGGGTCACGAAGAGTTGGACACGACTTAACGACTAAACAACAAGAAAAAGAGAGCATATAGGAAAGTACTATGGAGATAGCTTAATATCAGTGTTTCCAGCAATAAGCTGTTGAGAAAATAAATATATTTTATCAAATCTTAGTAGCAAAAATGAACTGTTGGAAATCTGGTTTCCTTTTGCCGATTTATGAATTCAAGAAAATGCATGCAGGAGCTACCCACAACATATGCTGATATCATAGTTGGAAAGCTGCTAATATTAGGTTTCTCCATTTAAGAAGCAAACTGTTAATTGTTACTGGTTTATTCATTACTACAGTGTCTACACAACTATGAATTCTAATAAAACAAATCATTTAAAAGAAAGAGAAAATAACACATTGCTTGCTTGCTTATTTCCTAACTTACATTTCTGTTATCCTGGTACATACTTATTTGAATGACGGGTAACATAAAAAATAAAACTAGCTGAAGTAGGGTGCAATGTGAAACAGGCTTAGGCACATAGGACTTGCATTGAGCATAAGATGTATTCAATATCAATTAACTTGCAGTTCTTATTTATATCCTCTGTGTTACTTTTAATCAATGTATTAATTCACATTTATTTCCTCTCCACTTAAGGTACAACTACATTAGGGGGGAAATTCAGGAAATGCTATGGGTTTGGCATAGGGTATTTGCATTTTTTCCATTTACCAAATGATGTAAAGGGAAATGTATATCAACCCGGAGTCCCCTCTTTGAAACCGTAGCTTTTCCTTCTGCCACTGGGGCTTTTGCTTAAAAAATGGATCTATTTGCATTGGTTCAGATATGCAATCACATGAACTGATGCAAAAAAGCAACCACACCAGCACAGACTCAGGAAACAGCAAAGTCCCCCTAATTAGCTCTTTTCTTATTAAATCACTGATAAGAGGAGGAAATGAGACCAGGACAGCCTTTTTTTGCATCTTATTAGATAATTACTTTGTAAGTGTACCTCCTACAGGGCTTCAGTAGAACTACAAACAAGATTTTCTTCCTATTTCTCTGTGTGGCCACTTAATGTAAACAGACCTAGGGAAATCCAAACTTCCCAGTGCAAATTTACAGCTAGTGAATGCAGGTAAATTCATATTTCCCTCATTGTGTAGT